TTTAATCTAATATGCTAGTGTAGAAAAACAAAAAGCTCTCAGTAAGAAAACACTACATTTAGCTAATAAAACAGTGTATTTTGAAATATTTTGTTTAATTATTATTTTATTTATTATTTATAACTAATTTGGCTACAATAAATTAACGTATGTTAATCTACCAATCATATTGAAGCTACATTTTAGCAAATCAAAACAAGGCAAATGTTTCCCTATTATTTGTGTTCTGCGTATGCGTCGCCCTAGAATTGCCCGCTTACATCTACAACATTCGCAGTTCACCAATGGCACGTACTAAGCAGACAGCCCGCAAAAGCACTGGCGGTAAAGCCCCGAGGAAGCAGTTGGCCACTAAGGCGGCGCGCAAGAGCGCTCCAGCCACCGGTGGCGTGAAAAAACCTCATCGTTACAGGCCTGGCACAGTCGCTCTCCGTGAGATACGAAGATATCAAAAGTCCACCGAGTTGCTTATCCGCAAGCTGCCCTTCCAGCGTCTCGTTCGCGAGATTGCTCAGGACTTCAAAACTGACCTCCGATTCCAGAGCTCCGCTGTCTCTGCCCTGCAAGAAGCAAGCGAGGCGTATCTGGTTGGTCTCTTCGAGGATACCAACCTCTGCGCCATCCACGCTAAGCGTGTCACCATTATGCCCAAGGACATACAGCTCGCCCGACGCATTCGCGGAGAGCGCGCTTAAATCGCTTAAACCCACATGCCTCCAGTGAACGCCCAACCGGCCCTCTTCAGGGCCACAAGTCGGTTGTTAAATAATCTAGGGTTTTATTTGCATCTATAGCATGTCTGCCTTCTGCACCCGCATTTGATTATGCAGCACTTTGGGCAGTCGGCTCTTGGCCAGTCTTTCAGTCCCCTGTAATCGCAGCGGCATTCTGTTTCATCGCATCCATAGTATAGGTCGTAGATCCACGCTGGTGTTGGTTCTTCTTCCTCGTAGTCGTAGTAGTAGTCGTACTCATTGTCGTACAGGTATTCAGCATCCGTCTCTTCGTACTCCGACATTTTTTGGACTACGATCTCGGACCATATTAATACCCTTCATCGTGCGCATCATTGTTCCATTGCGCAGCGCTATGAATTCTCACGCTCAGGCCTCCAGTCATTATAACGACGCCCAACCCATCCTAAAAAAGACCTGCGTCATTTCTATTTTCCGTAATTTATGATTCTACCCCACCCTGTGTTGTCCTTTTGTCGGTAAATTACTTTCGTTGTATATAAGCTTCACATTGTATACGCAACTCGTTCATATATATATGGGCGCTATCCAGCGTGTCTCCCACTTTGTGAAGCGTATTTCAGCAATTGTCCTAAACACTTGGTTCATTTCCCCTTCTTATCTGGCCGATTCACATTCCCAATATCCTCTTAACACACATTACGTGTAACTAATCCAATCGCTGCGTCTGGGTGAATAATTCGAGGCTTAGGTCTCATGATCATTCCTTTCCTAAATGTACCACGTCTCTTGTTAAACCTACTGTCAACCATCTAGCTCCAATCGCCGTCACGCCTATCCTCTCTCCCTAATGCTAGCTTTGGTTAGGTCAATCTTGAACCACGAAATTTGTGGATCAACTAGGCTAAGGCAAGTAATATATTATAGAGAGACAGGATAGGCGAGCCGGCGATTTGAGGTAGTAGGTTTTACAAGAGGCTTTATCCTCTAATTAAACGCTCAGGTGCAAGTAATGAACGAATAGCACAGATGGGTGGGGCAGGGGTCGAGTGAAATACATGTACCAGGAAGATAGCAGAAGGATTGGACGGCGCAAGGCAGGGACTGATGGAACTCACGGAAGGACTACATAACACAACTCTGATCAACATTCACAGCAATAATGGGTAATAGGGTGATAACGACAGTGTAAAATCTGAAAGGGTTTTCATGAATGCCGCTCGAACGAGCACAGCAAACTACATTAAAAATAAGCAAGGTAAAAAATTTGACAGGGAAGGAGTATATAGGAAATGCCACGGTAGATACCTCTTGCACAAGTTTAGTCAAATCATCGGCTTCATTTGCCTCTGATGAGTTGTAATATGGTGCTACGAATGGCGAGACTGACGATGCCGGCGAAAAGTCTGGGAATGTACCACGTCCACATTCCTACTCTGGAGATATTGTGGCATACATTGGACTCCGGACGAGGTGCGTTCCTCTAAGTCTTTCTACCAATATAACCGAGTTGCGAAAACAGGTCAAACAACTCCAATTAAATTCAAGTTTTCCGTTATGATGGGGGATGAGAAGACAATCAATTTCACCCTTGATACTCGATGCAAACCGTAGCAGTATTCGAATAAGTGTCTGAAAACTTACTCATTCCTCATAACCCTAGTCCACATATATTTTAGAGCCTGAGTTTAACAATTTCGTCTAGAAAAATGTATATGCTAAAACACCTTTGCTATTGATGAAGAATACAAATTATATAAACAGCTGAGTCACAAAAAGCGTGTATCATTTCCAAAACAAGTAAAATTGAATGTGGCAGCCGACATCTATATTTGAAGACAATAGCAATTTATGAAAACTAATAAAATCAATTTCAATCAAAATTCTTATTGTGTGATTTATAATCCTTAATAACTACATACATACGGGACTTTCATTTCGTATCAGCGTGAATGAAGATGAGATTCGTAGCTCGACCTCTATATATATCGATATATATTTAGGTTTTTAATTTTATTTTGGCCCAATTGAGACAATATAGGAAATAAGATAGAGGCGGATGGTATTCCTGTCCTATTCTTAAGCTTTTATGAGTTCTATCATATTATGGACAAAAGATCAGTACGATTGTACCCGAAAGGAGGGAGTCTTGTGGACTGCGTCAACACGAATATCGTATAAAGGCTAAAGGGCTCCAATATACCGATATTTATCCGTCCTTATCTAGTGAGACTGACCAGCGAATCTCTTCTTCATTCACTAGCAATGTATCTCGAGAGATTCATCCAAACCCAGTTTTTCATCGTATCTACATACTTGCAAACTAATCAATAGACAAATAAAATATTTATTGCATATTTAGTTAATAATAATTTAGCATTTAAATTAATAAGAAATAAAATTTCCGTAATCAATTTTTGTTAATATATAAATAGTTTTTCTTATTTTAAAAACTGTTTTTAAATTTATAATTACTATATCATATAAATGATTTTTATTCTTTTAATTTAGTTGCTCGGATTTACCGCGCCTTCACTTTCTCTCGCGTGCCACTCACTTATGGTAATCGTTACGTTAATCTCTTATATTTATTAGTCTCACAGAAAGTTTTCTGCTCCGCGCCATGGTTCTCTAGGCTTCACCCCTAAGAAAAGAAGCCAGAGACATCGTGGCAAATGTAAGGCCTTTCCTAAGGATAGGAGATCTCAGCCTTGCCACCTGACTGCATTTCTTGGCTACAAAGCTGGAATGACCCATGTTGTTCGGGATGTCGACAGGCAAGGCTCTAAAGTACATAAAAAAGAAGTTGTTGAGCCTGTAACTATAATCGAGTGCCCTCCTCTTGTCATTGTTGGAATCGTCGGTTACATTCGTACCCCTAAGGGTCTGCGAACATTCAAGACTATATGGTCAGAACATCTGAGCGATGAATGTCTCAGACGATTTTATAAAGACTGGTGCAAATCGAAAAAAAAAGCTTTTACTAAATCGTCAAAGAAATGGGCTGATGATGCTGGGGTTGCCGCGATCAACAGAGACATCAGGAAGATGAAGAAATATTGCTGTGTCATTCGCGTAATAACTCACACCCAAGTTTGTTTAGACTTTTTACGAATTTC